TCTCCAGCTCTGTCTGGGGCCCTCTGTTGTGATCCCTGTCAGAGCAGTCAGTGGTGGTAGCCAGGCACCATCTTGTTGTACTGGACTCAGTCTGATGGAGGCCGTGGTCATTGTGGTCCATTAGTCCTTTGGACTAATCTTTTCTTGTATCTTGTTTTCTTCATTCTCCCTTGCTCCCGAAGGGGTGAGACCAGTGGAATATGTTAGATGGCTGCTTACAGGCTTTTAAGATCCCAGACGCTACTCACCAAGGTGGAATGTAGAGCATTTTCTTTATAAACTGTGTTATGCCAACTGAGCTAGATGTTCCCCAAGACCATGGTCCCTACAGGCCTCCACCCAGCAATTCAGTCGCTCAGGGAGTTTGGATATGTCTATGGAGCTTCCATGACCTTTCCTTGTACAAGTTGTGCTGGCTTCCCCAGTAATGTGTACTGTCTTACTTTTCACCGAAGTTATCACTTACCTATTATCTATTTAGTACTCCCCCCCACTCCTCCGATCCCTCGTAACCAACAAAGATTGTTACTTTTTGTGTGTAAACTTTTTCATGAGTTTTTACAGTAGAGGTGTCATACAATATTGAGACATAAAATTTTTAAAGATTAAATAAAAACTTGTTATCTTTAATTTGATTTAGATATATCAGTATGAATTCATCATTTATTTAAACAAGAATAACAGAGTGTTAATTGTTGAAGCTGAGTGATGTGTCAGCAGGCATCTATTATACTATTCTCTACTTTTGTGTATGTTTAACATTTTCCATAATAAGAAAATAAAAAGGTCTCTGCTTTAGATTCCTTGCCAGGAATAGCCATCTGTGAAATATCACTAAAAACTTTTAACAAAGAACACAGCTATACCTCTATGTCTTGATTTTTGCCACTTGTAATGAAATACTAGATCATTTTTTCTTAATATAACTTTTTTATGAGAAGGAGAAACACCAAATACAACCTCTCTTAATTTTTTATGCTTTTAATAAAAGATACTTTTGTTCTCAGAAAATATTAGGACATATCACAATGGTATGTTCTAAAGTGTTTTTATGTAATAGTAATAATACTGAGTTTCATCTTTATGAAATACATATTGTTAATGATTAATAAATATGCAAGAAGAGATTTTTACATTGCACCATATTAGGGGAATCAAAATAAAATTCACTAAATATTTGGTTGCTCCCATGACATAAAATTGAACTGAAGTTTTAATAAGCAAATCAATAATTGCTAACTCTTTATATAACATCTATACCTTCACAATTGCCAACTTATAGAAAAGTAGCAACACTTTCTTGACCTGAATGTCAGAGTATAGAACAAGAATTTAGCAACCTATGTTTTATCAACGTGTGTCTCAGCTGTAACGTGTAAGACAACCCTTGCAAATATTCTGATAGTCTATTTCCTAATTTATTACTTCATCTATTTTTTTCATTTTGAATTAAATCCATGTTATTTACTAGAAAATCCTACATCTGGCCAAACGTCTGGATCTCTGCATCAGTGAGCTCTGTGGCATATTACATAATAACCTCTGACGGAACTGATGACTATTTAAGAGAACCGCATCGTGATATTTAGAAATATTCCAATGCTGAATATTACCTGCGTGACAGAAACTAACTCACCAAACCTATTTCCTCCTCTCCCTGGAAACACAACTAAACCGCATTTCCCAGCCTCCCTTGCACTTAGATGTGGATAGATGACTGAGTTCTAGCTCATGGAATGTGTTGGGAGTGACGTGCGCTCTTTAGCAGTACCCTAACTAAAACAGCCTAGATTTTACTTTCTACAAGTTAGGTCTTTTTGCTAAAGGGTGGGTCTTTCCAAAGTATTCTAAGATCAAAAGAGAAATTTTGAAGAAATCATTCAGAATGTTTAAAATTATGTTTAAAAGTATCATGAGTTTCTATACCAATACATCTTATGTACCTCTTTAGACTCTCTTGGCCTCATCTACCTCAAAGACCCTCAGACACTTAGTCCACCTCAGCTGCCACCAAGCAGACTGCCTCCCTTCAAGTCTACTTAATTTCATTGTCTGGGACCAACCAGTTCCTTGTCCTAGAGCAATGGACCCTCCTGTTTGGCTGCCACTCTCAAAGCCAAGCCAATCAGCATACCAATAGAGTTTGGCTCTGCTTGCAATTTCTGGACTCAGATTAAATATCACAGTGGAGGGCATATTCTGGCTGCCCAGCGATACTCACTGCCATGGAGTCGATTCTGACTCATAGCCACTCCATAGGGTTTTCAAGACTGTAAATCTCTACGGAAGCAGACTGCCACATCTTTCTCCCATAGAGCCGCTTGTGGTTTTGAATCGCTAACCTTTCAGTTAGCAGTCGATCTCTTTAACCACTGCACCACCAGGGCTCATAAAAAAATATTGGATGATGCAGAAGTAGAAAATGGTAATTCTTTGAGAAATGAACTTCAACCAGTGAGAAATAAGAGATAAGATGGACCATCTCTCCTACGGATGCTCCAAAGTATGGTTTCTTCATATGCTCTATGTGGAGATGTCCCACATGGCCAAGCAGATGTATCTGGTAAGCATGTTCCTCCACCACATGAAGCATAAAACAATGGACAACTCATCACCTTACTTTCTGTCCCATTCTTTCCTGCCTCACTTCATTTTTCCCTTATTCATGCTGCCCTAATACTGCTACAAAATCTGTTTGCTAGGAAATCTGGGTGGAGACAGTCCCTAAACACTGTTAGCCATTAAAGTGAACCATGGCTCCTTGAAGAAATAGTTGATTTGAGGTTTGAG